CGGCCTCCCTGGGGGCTGCTGTGGCTGGGAGCTGCCCTCTAGCCCACAGGGATCTGAAGCTGCCCCCAAACCCTGCTGGAGAGCAGTGTTTCCCCGCAACCCCTTGGCTAGCCTCACCCCAGGAGGTAATTGGAGGCCTGGCTGGCTGAGAGCATGGGCAGCTGGGGGCCCACGGGGGCCGTGGCAGGGGTGCCCGCTGGGGACGAGAGGGTGAGGGCCTTACTAGAGGTGGGCACGGCAGTGTTGCTCCCTGGCAGGCCTGAGGTGTGGGCTAGTTGGGGCTCCACAGGGCTGTTGCTGGGGGGCGTGTAGGAGGGGGGCGCCGGGCGGGCAGGGTGGGCCAGCTCGGTGTCCAGGCCCAGCTCACCCAGGGCCGAGCTGTCGAGGCTGCGTAGCCAGGAGCTGACGGCTGGGTGGCTGCGGGCCTTCTGCAGGTCTCCCACGTTTGGGCCCAGCAGTGTGGCCACGCTGCCCACGCTCAGGTTCTGTGAGGGGCAAGGGCTGTGGGTGTGGGTAGAGTCCCTGGGGCTTAACCCAGGCACAGGTGTGGCCCCGCCCACCAGCTCAGGCTCCGCCCACCCAATTCAGCCCCTGGCAGGGCCCTGCCCACCCACCTGCAGCACGTGGGGGTTCAGGCTGGTGAAGGTGTCGATGTCCATGGAGACGTTGGCCTGGGCCAGCTGCCGCAGCTCCTCCACGGGGGCACCACCTTGTGAGCAGGGAGTGGTGAGAGCGGGCAGGGGCTTCCGGGGAGGGTCACAGGGCAGGGGCTCACCGAGGTAGGGGCGCATGAGGCGGTAGTAGGCGGCTGTGGTCCTGATGCTGCCGAAGGCCTCCCGGGCCTTGGCGTAGAGCACGTCCTTCCGGCTCTGTGGGCACGCGGAGATGTCCAGGGCCCCGGCCAGCCTGGGGAGAGGCCAGCAGGTGAGCTGGGGTCACCTTGAACAGCAGGTGTGGCCTCACACCCCGGACCATGGCTCTCCTCTGGTCCTCCCTGAAGCCTGTGGCCACCCAGGACCTCAGTGTGTGTCCGTAACTGCACTGGGGTCTTTGGAGGGGAAGCCAATTAGAGATGGGGCTGGACAGATGAGGCGGCCCTGCCAGTGACGTGCCGCGAGAGACGGGGCCGTGTGGACGAACCTGGGGGCACCCCAGCCTGAGTGCCCGCCTCTGGGCTGGAGCAGCTGGGTGGCAGGGAGGAGCCAGGCCTCGCGGCAGCCCCACCAGCACCCACCAGCCTGGTTTTGGACCTCTGGTACTGGACATGCCAGCGAGTATGTTTCTCCTGGTTCGTGTGGCCCGGGACACCCGTAGTACGGTCGGCCGGCCTGGCCAGGACTGGACCTCCCTCCCAAGCCCTGTGTCCCCATGTCCCCTCCTGACAGGCCGCTCACCGGAACTCTGAGGGTCGAATGGCCTGGACCTGCTGGGGGCCCATCCAGCAGAGGCGGGAACCCCCGATGGCCACCAGCAGGGCCCCGGTGACCGTGCCGTTGTGGTCTAGGAACTTCTGCAGGACCACCTGGGGACAGGGCAGGGTCAGCAGGCCGCTGGTCAGGCTTGAGCCGTGCCCACCCCGGCCCCTCACCTCGGTCTGGTTCTCCAGGGCCACGTTGGGGGCCAGCAGGGCGACCAGAGTGTCCCGGGACGTGATGCTCCACTGGCCGATCTCGGCGCGGGAGTAGAGGTAGACCAGTGAGGTGATGAGGCGCAGCTGGCTCTCGGGGACGCCGCGGGGGTAGAGCTGAGGCAGGGGGCAGGGTCAGGGGCGTCCGTGCCCGCTGGCCCGCCCCGTCCCGCCTGCCGCACACCTGAGCGAGCTTGGCCTTGACGACTTGCTGGCATTCGGCGGGCAGCGGGTGCTGCAGCAGGGGCTCCAGGAGGGCCCCGAGCACGTGGTTGTCCAGACAGATGTCCAGCTCAGCGCAGTCGTAGCGCACCAGGAACAGGTCGTCCCGCAGCGTGGCTGCAGTGATGGCACCGTGGACACAGGCTGTCCCTGTGGGTTGCCTCAGTGACCTCCACCTCCTCCTGCAAGCATGTGGCCCCGCCACCCTGACGTGGACCGGCCATGGGGCCACACTGACCTGGGGCCTGCCTGAGACTTGCAGTTGCTGGCTTGATGTTTGATTCCAGGAAGCTGGTGACAAAGCACCTGATGTTGCTCCAGCCCAGCCGTTGGGCCCGGTACGCGGCCACCACGCTGCAGAAGAAGTCCAGGCCCACAGCCTGGCAGGCGGGCAGGCAAGGCTCCACATCGAGGCCAGGGGCCACCTGCCCACCCCGCACTCCCTGCGAAGCCCTGGGGGGCTCTGGGGCAGCTCACAGCAGTCCTGCGGCAGCCCCGGACCTGGAAAGACTGGCGGGGTGACTGGGGGTGGCGTGGGCTTACCTCTGGCACTTGCATCCACAGGCGGGTGCTGATGTGGGCAGCCAGGGGCCCCAGGGTCTGCAGCCCCTCCAGCGTCCAGGAGCCAGGGCCCCTGGTGCACAGTAAGGGCCACTGTGTCAGGCTTGGGAGATCTCAGCCGGGGCTGCCTGCCCCTCCTGGTGTCCCAGCAGGTGTGTGACGCACCCAGGTCTGGCCAATCCCACCCACGGAGTGCACAGTCTCCCCTCTGGGGAGCAGGGACACCTCAGCCCAGCGGAGGGGCAGCCCCCACCCCGGCCCCAGAGTGCATCTGAGGGCTGTGAATACCAGCGGCTCCTGGGTCTAGACCCCTGGCTGTCCTGCCGCCTCATCTCCCCGTCCCCGCCTGACCCCGGCCTGAGACCCCGCCCACCCGAGCTGGGTCCTCCCACTGGCCAGGAGAGTGTTGAGGGCGGCCTTCTGGGCAGCGGTCAGCCGGGGGCAGCGGCGCAGGTTCTGCAGCACTTGGGGGTCCGCAGTGGTGATGTTCGCCGCGTCCAGGTCACACACCAGGACCCCGAGGAGCAGCAGGTCGGAGGCGCTGAGCTGTGGACGGGGCGCCCCCTGTAGGGACAGAGGGCAGAGTGAGCAGAGGGCCGGCCGCCTGTCCCTCCGTGGCCATCAGGGAACCTACCAGACAGGAGAAGGCCATGTGCCGCAGGGCGACCCTCTGGTCAGGCAGGTTGGCCAGCAGCTCCGTGTCCCCCTGGGCGGCGCGTTGGATGAAGGCCTGGCAATCGGCCTTTGGCACCTGGGCCAGGCTGCAGGGTGAGGGGAAGTCCCTCAGAGGGGGCGAGGCCGGCCCGCAGCCCTGCTGGGCCCTTGGAGGCAGTGCGGCCCACCCCGGGCACTTACTCGTAGAAGAGCAGCAGGTCTGGCGGGTGCAGTGGGAAGTCCTCCTGGAGGCCGTGCCGGGCCGCGAGGCTGGCCAAGCAGCTGAGCTGGGCAGGGCGGGCAGTCACTCCCTTGTCCAGTCTGGCTCGGCT